AGAGAGAGAGAGAGAGAGAGAGGGAGTGTGTGCACAGGAGGGGGGATTTTCTAAAAGTCCCATTGAATCCAGAGAGGGGGAGAGAGAGAGAGAGAGAGAGAGAGAGAGAAACATGGCCGGCAAGCCACTCCCACCAGGTCACATGGCCGGCAAGCCACTCCCACAAAGGAGGCCACACCCACAGAGTAGGTTCGAAATTTTTTTGAAACCCACCACTGATCCACAAGCATGATTTATGCTGTCTTGTTACTATTTGGCCTGAAGCCTGATAGCAATGGATGCAGACAATTCCTTTCCACTCAGCCTTTCGGCGCTGCGAGCATTACCACCATATTTAAAAATGCAGTACTTTAAATATTATTAAGCCATCGTTTAAGTGGCATTACAGAAAGTCCAGGCTTAAGGAGGACTTTATTGGCATAGAACTGAAGTAGATTGAATTGTTTGTTCTTTAAGTGAGAGCTTTGGGACTAAACATGTGTTTTGCTCAGCAGCTCTTCAACAGATCTCCGTTTCAGCATGGCTCTGTGTGATGAGGAGAAGGACTTCCGACAGCAGCGGAAAACTAGAGCAATGCATCATCTGAACAAGTTATTGGGAGCTGATTTGACCTCCATTCGTGATGTAAGTCTGGAGGGCTTATATCCAACAGTCCTTAGTTCGATCCCAGAATGATCCAAAGCTACATTGCATTAGATTTTATAATTTTTTTACTGTAACTTCAAGTCCTATTTCACCTTTCAACTCTCTGTAAATTTTTGTTTCCATATACTTTCATCAGCAATCCACTTGGTCTTCTCCAAACCTGGAATACTTGTTAAAGTTCTCATATCGTTTTGTTTCAGTTGAAAGCTTTGGTTTTTAATCTTAAGCAAAACAATTTAAACTTTCTTATCAAGTTCTGAGCCTAATGTTATGCATAGTTGCTAAGACTTTGCTTTCCTAACTAGCTATTTCTAGTTCTAACTAATTTGGTTAGAATTAGTTATTCTAGTAATAACTAATTATAACTGCTTTGGGTTTTTTAAATAAAAAAAACCCTCTAGTCTCTAATAACTTTAATTGGTTTGTTTGAGTTAAAATTATGAAAACTTATTGCAACATTTTTTTGATCTGTGAGACATGCAATTTTGATATGCGGGAAAATGGAAATTGGAAAGGACAGGGAGATACACACAGTGTTCTTATTATCCCAAATATTTATCATTGCTTATAATGTCCAAATATGAAGTTATGTGTTGTTAAACGATCCAAAGATGGTTTTGGCCAGCCCCAGCAAACACATTAGCCAAGCGAATAATTAATCATTATCTATGCTTTCTCTATATTGAATATCTTAAAGCAAAATTAGAGATTATTTCTAAATTTTAATACATACGGGAGAGAGAAGTAACTACGAATGATATGCTAACACATAGGTCAGTGCTCCAATTTTTAAAATGGTGGGACAGTAAAGTTGTTTATAGATTAGAATTTTCTAGTCTATTGTTTTTCTTTTCTTACAAAAACCTCAAAACTGACCTGTGTGAAGAATATTAAATACAGACCAGCTCTTGTGTTCAAACCCTGGATGGAGAGAGATACAAATCATGGGTTGTATTTAGGGGTGAACAAATGATTTTTGGGGTGTGTGTGTGTTCTGTTACATTATATGTTTTATGTAATGTTACCATGACTATATAATGTCCTTCGTGTGTTGTGTGATAAATATTTTAGAAGGCATCTATGTTGTATGTTTTCCCAGGTGCCAGTAATAGCAATCTTGGGATCTGGAGGAGGATTTCGGGCAACTGTGGGATTTTCTGGAGTAATAAAAGCACTGTATGAATCTGGAATTTTAGACTGTGCAACATATATTGCTGGATTATCTGGATCCACATGGCAAGTTTGCTTTTAAATAAACCTTTCTTTATTTAATAGACAATACCTTACTCTTATTTTTAATCCATTGATTCTATAGCCAAATTGCCAAAATCTTTTATTAAATAGCAATAGCAATAGCAGTTAGACTTATATACCGCTTCATAGGGCTTTCAGCCCTCTCTAAGCGGTTTACAGAGTCAGCATATTGCCTCCAA